TACTTTTCACCCATATACTTTTCACCCAGAGACTCTTCACCCAGAAACTCTTCTTGCACATACTTTTCACCCAGAGACTCTTCACCCAGAAACTCTTCTTGCACATACTTTTCACCCATATACTTTTCACCCAGAGACTCTTCACCCAGAAACTCTTCTTGCAAATACTTTTCACCAATATACTTTTCACCCAGAGACTCTTCACCCAGAAACTCTTCTTGCACATACTTTTCACCCAAATACTTTTCACCCAGAGACTCTTCACCCAGAAACTCTTCTTGCACATATTTTTCATCCATATACTTGTCACCCAGAGACCCTTCACCCGGAAACTCTTCTTGCACATACTTTTCACCCATATACTTTTCATCCAGAGACTCTTCACCCAGAAACTCTTCTTGCACATACTTTTCACCCATATACTTTTCACCCAGAGACTCTTCTTGCACATACGTTTCACCCATATACTTTTCACCCAGAGACTCTTCACCCAGAAACTCTTCTTGCACATACTTTTCACCAATATACGTTTCACCCAGAGACTCTTCACCTAGAAAATTTTCTTGCACATATTTTTCACCCATATACTTTCACCCAGAAACTCTTCTTGCACATACTTTTTACCCATATACTTTTCACCCAGAGACTCTTCACCTAGAAACTCTCCTTGCACAGACTTTTCACCCAGAGACTCTTCTTGCACATACTTTTTACCCATATACTTTTCACCCAGAGACTCTTCACCCAGAAACTCTTCTTGCACATACTTTTCACCAATATACTGTTCACATCTTTTCACCCAGAGACTCTTCACCCAGAAACTCTTCTTGCACAGACTTTTCACCCAGAGACTCTTCACCCAGAAACTCTTCTTGCACAAACTTTTCCCCCATATACTTTTCACCTAGAGACTCTTCACCCAGAAACTTTTCTTGCACATATAATGGTCCCACATCGGAGCCTCAATTTTACTCTTCACCCATATACTTTTTACCCATATACTTTTCACCCAGAGACTCCTCACCTAGAAACTCTTCTTGCACATACTTTTCACCCATATACTTTTCACCCAGAGACTCTTCTTGCACATACTTTTCACCCATATACTTTTCACCCAGAGACTCTCCACCCAGAAACTCTTCTTGCACATACTTTTCACCCAGAGATTCTTCACCCAGAGACTCTTCACCTAGAAACTTTTCTTGCACATATTTTTCACCCATATACTTTCACCCAGAAACTCTTCTTGCACATACTTTTCACCCATATACTTTTCACATCTTTTCACCCAGAGACTCTTCACCCAGAAACTCTTCTTGCACATACTTTTCACCAATATACTTTTCACCCATATACTTTTCACCCAGAAACTCTTCTTGCACATACGTTTCACCCATATACTTTTCACCCAGAGACTCTTCACCCAGAAACTCTTCTTGCACATACTTTTCACCAATATACTTTTCACCCAGAGACTCTTCACCCAGAAACTCTTCTTGCACATACTTTTCACCCATAGACTTTTCACCCACAGACTCTTCACCCAGAAACTCTTCTTGCACATACTTTTCACCCATATACTTTTCACCCAGAGACTCTTCACCCAGAAACTCTTATTGCACATACTTTTCACCCATACACTCTTCACCAAGAAACTCTTCTTGCACATACTTTTCACCCATATACTTTTCACCCAGAGACTCTTCACCCAGAAACTCTTCTTGCACATACTTTTCACCCATATACTTTTCACCCAGAGACTCTTCACCCAGAAACTCTTCTTGCACATACTTTTCACCCATATACTTTTCACCCAGGGACTCTTCACCTAGAAACTCTTCTTGCACATACTTTTCACCCATATACTTTTCACCCAGAGACTCTTCACCCAGAAACCCTTCTTGCACATACTTTTCACCCAGAGACTCTTCACCCAGAAACTCTTCTTGCACATACTTTTAACCCATATACTTTTCACCCAGAGACTCTTCACCCAGAAACTCTTCTTGCACATGCTTTTCACCCATATACTTTTAACCCAGAGACTCTTCACCCAGAAACTCTTCTTGCACAAACTTTTCACCCATATACTTTTCACGCAGAGACTCTTCACCCAGAAACTCTTCTTGCACATACTTTTCACCCATATACTTTTCACCCAGAGACTCTTCACCCAGAAACTCTTCTTGCATAGATTTTTCACCCAGAGACTCTTTACCCAGAAACTCTTCTTGCACATACTTTTCACCCATATACTTTTCACCCAGAGACTCTTCACCCAGAAACTCTTCTTGCACATACTTTTCACCCATATACTTTTCACCCAGAGACTCTTCACCCAGAAACTATACTTCACCCAGAGACTTTCTTGCACATACATTTCCCCCATATACTTTTCACCCAGAGATTCTTCACCCAGAAACTCTTCTTGCACAGTTCACATCTTTTCACCCAGAGACTCTTCACCCAGAAACTCTTCTTGCACATACTTTTCACCAATATACTGTTCACATCTTTTCACCCAGAGACTCTTCACCCAGAAACTCTTCTTGCACAGACTTTTCACCAAGAGACTCTTCACCCAGAAACTCTTCTGGCACAAACTTTTCACCCATATGCTTTTCACCTAGAGACTCTTCACCCAGAAACTCTTCTTGCACATATAATGGTCCCACATCGGAGCCTCAATTTTACTTTTCACCCATATACTTTTTACCCATATACTTTTCACCCAGAGACTCTTCACCTAGAAACTCTTCTTGCACATACTTTTCACCCATATACTTTTCACCCAGAGACTCTTCTTGCACATACTTATCTTGCTAAAAAGTACCATCATGGAACTTCTGCACATCACATGGTGTTAATCAAAACGGCCATTTTTCCATTGCTTTTCCAATGTTTCACGCGTGCTTTACGTGACTTGGCATCATTTTACCCTCTCCTCATTGTTTCCACCGTTGTAATCAATTTTCCAAGCGTTCTACTCAAATTTGCCATTGCTTTCCCATTCTTTTCCCATTGTTTTACGTCATATTCCCTCATTTGTTCATTGTTTATCCCAAATTTCAGACATATGGCATTGTTTATCCCAAAATTTGGGCAAAAACTGAACTTCTGCACATCACATGTGTGTCATCTCCTCATATCGAAACTGCAATTTTTCCATTGCTTTTCCATTACGCGATAATGGTCCCACATCGGAGCCTCAATTTTACTTGGCATCATTTTACCCTCTCCCTATTCTTTCCACCGTTTTTCCTCGCGTATCAATTAGCGTTCTACTCAAATTTTCCATTGCTTTCCCATTTTTTCCCATTGTTTTATATCATAGTCTCTCATTTTTTCCATTGTTTTTCTCATCATTTTCCCCTCCTTTCCCATTTTTTTCCCATTGTTTTATGTCATATTCCCTCATTTTTTCCATTGTTTTTCTCATCATTTTCCCCTCCATTGCAATCTCCCCAAGTCCACCTCGGAGGGCGGACCAGGGGGGAATCGATACCCCACCGTCACCCAATTGCCACCTGGTACATAACCCTAAAAAACTTTACCTGTGGCCACCTTTTTTACCACCTATTTTCCCGATTTTTGGCCAGTTAGGACCGCTCTGCCCCCAGACCCCCTTAACTCACTTTGTTCGCAAAAAGAACTTCGCCTAGCCTAGCGGCTGGCTTTCGTGATGACATGGAATAACACCATCTCAATAACAAATCCCTTCTGTCAAGAAACACACAGGCAAACACAACAAAAAAAAAGTGGTGCTTGGACGCCTTGATTATCTTCCGTTCAATCTTGACACGTGGCTCGCGTGCTTTGAAAGAGGCATTCACAATGATATTCTTCGCTCGCTCTTGTTCTTGACGATGCCGTTCTTGTTCTTGACGATGCCGTTCTTGTTCTTGACGATGCTGCCACATATCCCATCCAAAGGTCACGATGGCCAACGAGCCACCACCACCAACCAACCACTTTCCAATCTGCTGTTTCGTGGTCGGCTCCTTCTCTGGAGCGTTGTTTGAGAAGCAACGGTGGTTTCGTCGGCCTGACATGAGAAGCCGAAAACCACAACATCGGGCAATGAGGCAACGCGACATACCCATGGCGGAAATCTCCAGAACTGGGACTGTGCTGGAGCTCAAGCACTTTACGATTTCTTGATGCGTTGACTTGTTCATAGTGCAACACATGCCGCAAGTAGAACTCATCTTATCTTGTGAGCATTTGTGAGCCTGTCTGCTGCGGGAGAAAGCAATCAACATCTCTGGGTGTAGTGTAATGCCACAATGTGTACATAGAGTGTACATAGTGCCTCAAGAAACGCAATATGTCCTCAAAAGTGATGCTTCCATGCAAACGAAACAGCGCGCACATCTCATCTGGGCGCCCCCGACGAAATCCAGAAAGTCCATGAAGAAGTCCGCAAAAAATGAGGCGAAGCGAAAGACGTTCAAATCAAAACACAACCAAGAAAAAACGCCACCAAAAAAGACGAGAATGAGAGAATAAAAAATGAAAGATGTTGAAAGACATGGAACCTTTTGAAAGATATCAAGTTGAATGTTTTGTCTTGAAACTGATGATAAGGAAACACAATAAAATCATACCCAAAAAACGACAAGACATACCTTGACAATAAAAAACGACAACCACAAGTACACTATCCACAGTATCTCCCTCATCTGAACCAAAACACAAACCCCAACAGCCTAAACAAATCCTACCCTCATCTGAACCAAACATTGACACATCACTTTAGCATCAAAATGACCCCCAAAACCCCACCTGAAAAATCATCAAAACCAAGGATGAAACATTGAACCCCAACACAGAATCATAACAAGCAACATACCAACATACACGCCCTGAAACCCCCATTTTTCCATTTTTTTCCCAGCCTTACGGTAAATATCCTGTGTTTTTGGCAATTTTGCCTTTGCCCCTTTCTCGTGGTTGACACCTACATAAGCATTATGCATCATGATGCCCCATGTAGATACCTATGGCTGAGTCCTTGTCTCGTTTTTCCATGGTGTTTGCTTCTTCCAGAGCAGCTTCGCATTCCGCTGCCTCCCATGAGCTCTGTTCTCAAGGAGTCTGCAGAGTCATCTTGATCGTCCAGTATACAAAGAGCAATATGGGTGGAGAGAGGAAAAGAATCAACCGATACTGGACTATATCACACAGTATCATGCAATTACATATTACATACCAAGATATACCAAGTATATTATTCCTATTTCATTTAATTTTCTTGTTGCCAGACACTGTTGAGTACCAACGGATCAATCTTGTTGCAGGCCTTGCGACTTTGCACCTCCAATTTGCTTTGAAGCCGACCCAAAAGCTCCTGTGAAGTCAACAACTTTCAGGGATTATCTGATTATCTGAACTCTGTCAGCAGCCGATTCATGGACGCCGATCATGGACGATCATATCATCAAGTGGGCTGCAAACGCTTGCAGTGGAGATCTACTTCCCCACCTGACACACTCAAAGATCTCCAGATCAGGACATTCGATTGAACAAAGATAAACAAAGCAAAATTGAAAAATATCAGGAAGGCATAGAAAGGCCTTGGGTCCGGCCTTCTGCGTCATGTCACGACGTCGCAAAGTTACCAACTCTTGTGTAATGGAGGCAGGGTCTGACCTTTGTGAGTCATGTGCATTCAAGGCTGACACGTTGATCAACTTGGGATTGCGAGGTAAGAAGAGGCTGGAAGAGGCCGGATCCGCATCTACGTCCTACTAGACACACATGACGGAAGTTTAAAGATTAGCCTTCACCATCCTGAAGAATGCAAACAGCAAAACCCACTTGAAGCGCAAACACAGAGAGAGGGAGAGAGAGAACCCAGGACGGTGCTTGGCTTGGATTCTGGAAATCCCACGGGGTGAACAAAAACTGTAAACAAGAATGCATCCGGGACAGGATGAATCCAAAAGCAAACAAAGGTCTTTTGGGTTCACTGATATATGGCTAAACCTCAAAGGAGAAAATATGAGAAAGGTCGAAGGAGATGGAAGGAGATATGAAGGAAATCGGCAGAAAGAAATGAGGATGTTAGTGTTGTTATTGCCGATGCTAATTGTATGCGGTATAATTATAGTTTTAGTATGTTATAGTTATAGTATGTTAAAGTTATAGTTGCTTTGTTGGCGTCGTTGTTCTATGATGCGGATATATTGATATTGCTTTTGATTCTCTGTTGAAACAGGTCCTTTAAAAAACAATGCAGTCTTATTCCTGAATGCACTGCATCAAAGTTGTTCAAGGCAATTTGACTCGTAGAAAATAAGGGTGCAAACTGGTCAAGTGCAAATCTGGGCAAATGACTTTACATCCTCCTTTTGATCGCTTTCCAACTCTTTGACCTCAAACAGAACTGACGCTGCAATTTGGATCACTCAATGGGGTTTGTTGCCAGTGTTGCCACTCACACATCACTACAAGTAGGCATACAACACGTGCACAACGGATTGTGTGATGGACTTTTTTCCAACAGATTGCCGGTCTTGTCCCGCCTTCGATCTCTCCTCCCAGTCTTGCAAGGCACGGTCCTTGGCTTTCAGCGAAGCCTGGAAACGATATGGGCATTTCGCGGCAATGAAATGCGGAAATACATTGGTCGTTCAACATATTGATTGAACGTGATGTAGTCCAAGATGCTGAAATTACACAAAATTATATGAAATTATATGCAATCAGTACATTTTGACATGTTGATGTTGTCGTTGTCGTTGTCGTTGTCGTGGTGGTGGTCGTGGTGGTGATCGTGGTGGTGGTGGTGCTGCTGGTTGTGTTTTTTTGTGTTTCTTGTGCTTCTTGTGCTTCTTGTGTTTCTTGTGCTTCTTGTTGTTGTCGTTGTCGTTGTCGTTGTCGTCGTCGTCGTCGTCGTCGTTGTTGTTGCTGTTGTTGTTAGACATGTGTTCCAAGCTGCAGTTCAAGTTGAAAAAGCGGCTCAAGAATCATCACACTCTGTTTAGTTGTCTTGCTTTTGCGCCTGCAGATCCAAGACGAGCTTTTCAAGTCCCTCCACGCGCTGACGTAAATCCTATACCGCACAGAGCAGTCGACACATCGACAAAGATTACTTTTGAAAAGGTCCAATTGTCAATGAATTCGAAGAATTCTGAGAAGGGGCAACTCAGAAATCTGTGGCAAAAGATGGTAAAAGCAAACTCAGCAGACTCAATAAACTGAGAGTAAACAGCACAATAAACTGAGTAGACAGATGTAGATAGATGTAGACACAATGTAGATAGCACAAGTATGCACAAGTTTGTGATTTTGTGAAGTCTGTCACAGTTTGTCCAAATTTGTCACTGCCGGACTCTTGCCTTTGTGGCCTCAGGCGTGGGCTCAGTGGCCACAGCTTCTGGATCTGGGTCCTGGCAGGCCATGACGCTTTGAACACTCGAGTCCCATGGCTTTCTTAGATTATAATATACTATAATATCATACAGTACATGGATATATGATAATATATATATACAGTATATATACTAGTATATATATAAAGTATATGTATTATCTATTCAATGTTTTAGAATTTTAGAACATCGGTTTAATTGGATTTAATTGGGCAACCATGTTCACTTTCTCCTACATTCTAGGTAAAATATCAAAGCCCTCATTCACCCAAAAAGATTCACATCCACCATCGTCTCATCAAATATCATCCCTTACAGGCAAACAAGTTCAAAGCATTGGCCTGGTAGTTCAACTCACAACTGCAGCAAAAGCACAAACAGTTCTGCTGGGAGTGCTCTGCAAAAGACTCCCCATGCGTTGCTTCAACTTGCTCTGAACAGGGGCAGGTTTCAGGTTCAACTGCCTGTGCATCTGCTCCATTCTCAACCACTTCCGAAGGTTCTTCTCCTGTTTCCTGCAGAAGAGCGACATTTCTTCTTGCACTCTACAGCAAAATGACTTTCACTGACTTGAAAAAGTATACATATTTTCTGTCTGCTATTTCATGTGGAGTGCTTCAGACATGGACATGTACACAACAGTGAAGCACTGCAAGTGCATTAGCAAGGACTACTACAGGCATCTGCACTCATTCACTAAAACAAATCAGCCCCATGTTTTGGAATGACACGGGGAAAACCTGAGAAGGCTTCGCCGCTGTGTGACATAATTTCAGATACTCTCAAAGATACTTTCAAAGCAATTCAATGCATGTGCCTACTGTATGTATCTGAGATATCTGTGAACAGTAACGACGGTCTTTCTGCAAATGTGTATTGAGAAGAATTTGTAGACACATCACTTTTCTCAGCTCTCAAACGCCAACAGAAAATTCATGACTTCCACCTTTACTTTGCCCCTACATTGCCTTATTATACATGCCCTCAAACTCTTCAAATTCAGTGGCCTGAACCTGTTCTTCTTCCACTTGCTTGGTCAGGCCACTTTCAGGTTCAAGTGCCTCTGCTTCTGCACCATTCTCAACCACTTCCGAAGGTGCTTCTCCTGTTTCCTGCAAACGAGCGACATTTCTTCTTGCACTCTACAGAAAAATGACTTTCACTGACTTGAAAAAGTATACATATCTTCTGCCTGCTATTTCATGTGGAGTGCTTCATACATGGACATGTACACAACGGTGACGCACTGCAAGTGCATTAGCAAGGACTACTACAGGCATCTGCACTCATTCACTAAAACAAATCAGCCCCGTGTTTTGGAATGACACGGGGAAAACCTGAGAAGGCTTCGCCGCTGTGTGACATAATTTCAGATACTCTCAAAGATACTTTCAAAGCAATTCAATGCATGTGCCTACTGTATGTATCTGAGATATCTGTGAACAGTAACGACGGTCTTTCTGCAAATGTGTATTGAGAAGAATTTGTAGACACATCACTTTTCTCAGCTCTCAAACGCCAACAGAAAATTCATGACTTCCACCTTTACTTTGCCCCTACATTGCCTTATTATACATGCCCTCAAACTCTTCAAATTCAGTGGCCTGAACCTGTTCTTCTTCCACTTGCTTGGTCAGGCCACTTTCAGGTTCAAGTGCCTCTGCTTCTGCACCATTCTCAACCACTTCCGAAGGTGCTTCTCCTGTTTCCTGCAAATGAGCGACATTTCTTCTTGCACTCTTTAGTCTACAGCAAAATGACTTTCACTGACTTGAAAAAGTATACATATCTTCTGCCTGCTATTTCATGTGGAGTGCTTCATACATGGACATGTACACAACGGTGACGCACTGCAAGTGCATTAGCAAGGACTACTACAGGCCTCTGCACCCATTGACTAAAACAAATCAGCCCCGTGTTTTGGAGTGACACGGGGAAATCCTGAGAAGGCTTCGCCGCTGTGTGACATAATTTCAGATACTCTCAAAGATACTCTCAAAGACATCCATGCATGTGTCTACTGTATGTATGTGAGAACAGCAACGATCTTTCTGCAAATGTGTATTGAGAAAAATTTGGAGACACATCACTTTTCTCAGCTCTCAAACGCCAACAGAAAATTCATGACTTCCACCTTTACTTTGCCCCTACATTGCCTTATTATACATGCCCTCAAACTCTTCAAATTCAGTGGCCTGAACCTGTTCTTCTTCCACTTGCTTGGTCAGGCCACTTTCAGGTTCAAGTGCCTCTGCTTCTGCACCATTCTCAACCACTTCCGAAGGTGCTTCTCCTGTTTCCTGCAAACGAGCGACATTTCTTCTTGCACTCTACAGAAAAATGACTTTCACTGACTTGAAAAAGTATACATATCTTCTGCCTGCCATTTCATGTGGAGTGCTTCATACATGGACATGTACACAACGGTGACGCACTGCAAGTGCATTAGCAAGGACTACTACAGGCATCTGTACCCATTCACTAAAACAAATCAGCCCCGTGTTTTGGAATGACACGGGGAAACCTGAGAAGGCTTCGCCGCTGTGTGACATAATTTCAGATACTCTCAAAGATACTTTCAAAGCAATTCAATGCATGTGCCTACTGTATGTATCTGAGATATCTGTGAACAGTAACGACGGTCTTTCTGCAAATGTGTATTGAGAAGAATTTGTAGACACATCACTTTTCTCAGCTCTCAAACGCCAACAGAAAATTCATGACTTCCACCTTTACTTTGCCCCTACATTGCCTTATTATATATGCCCTCAAACTCTTCAAATTCAGTGGCCTGAACCTGTTCTTCTTCCACTTGCTTGGTCAGGCCACTTTCAGGTTCAAGTGCCTCTGCTTCTGCACCATTCTCAACCACTTCCGAAGGTGCTTCTCCTGTTTCCTGCAAATGAGCGACATTTCTTCTTGCACTCTTTAGTCTACAGCAAAATGACTTTCACTGACTTGAAAAAGTATACATATCTTCTGCCTGCTATTTCATGTGGAGTGCTTCATACATGGACATGTACACAACGGTGACGCACTGCAAGTGCATTAGCAAGGACTACTACAGGCATCTGCACTCATTCACTAAAACAAATCAACCCCGTGTTTTGGAGTGACACGGGGAAAACCTGAGAAGGCTTCGCCGCTGTGTGACATAATTTCAGATACTCTCAAAGATACTTTCAAAGCAATTCAATGCATGTGCCTACTGTATGTATCTGAGATATCTGTGAACAGTAACGACGGTCTTTCTGCAAATGTGTATTGAGAAGAATTTGTAGACACATCACTTTTCTCAGCTCTCAAACGCCAACAGAAAATTCATGACTTCCACCTTTACTTTGCCCCTACATTGCCTTATTATACATGCCCTCAAACTCTTCAAATTCAGTGGCCTGAACCTGTTCTTCTTCCACTTGCTTGGTCAGGCCACTTTCAGGTTCAAGTGCCTCTGCTTCTGCACCATTCTCAACCACTTCCGAAGGTGCTTCTCCTGTTTCCTGCAAACGAGCGACATTTCTTCTTGCACTCTACAGAAAAATGACTTTCACTGACTTGAAAAAGTATACATATCTTCTGCCTGCCATTTCATGTGGAGTGCTTCATACATGGACATGTACACAACGGTGACGCACTGCAAGTGCATTAGCAAGGACTACTACAGGCCTCTGCACTCATCCACTAAAACAAATCAGCCCCGTGCTTTGGAGTGACACTGGAAAAAACCGAAAAGGCTTCGCCGCTGTGTGACATAATTTCAGATACTCTCAAAGATACTTTCAAAGCAATTCAATGCATGTGCCTACTGTATGTATCTGAGATATCTGTGAACAGTAACCATGTTCTTTCTGCAAATGTGTATTGAGAAGAATTTGTAGACACATCACTTTTCTCAGCTCTCAAACGCCAACAGAAAATTCATGACTTCCACCTTTACTTTGCCCCTACATTGCCTTATTATACATGCCCTCAAACTCTTCAAATTCAGTGGCCTGAACCTGTTCTTCTTCCACTTGCTTGGTCAGGCCACTTGCAGGTTCAAGTGCCTCTGCTTCTGCACCATTCTCAACCACTTCCGAAGGTGCTTCTCCTGTTTCCTGCAAATGAGCGACATTTCTTCTTGCACTCTACAATAAAATGACTTTCACTGACTTGAAAAAGTATACATATCTTCTGCCTGCTATTTCATGTGGAGTGCTTCATACATGGACATGTACACAACGGTGACGCACTGCAAGTGCATTAGCAAGGACTACTACAGGCCTCTGCACCCATTGACTAAAACAAATCAGCCCCGTGCTTTGGAGTGACACTGGAAAAAACCGAAAAGGCTTCGCCGTTGTGTGACATAATTTCAGATACTCTCAAAGATACTCTCAAAGACATCCATGCATGTGCCTACTGTATGTATGTGAGAACAGCAACGATCTTTCTGCAAATGTGTATTGAGAAAAATTTGGAGACACATCACTTTTCTCAGCTCTCAAACGCCCACAGAAAATTCATGACTTCCACCTTTACTTTGCCCCTACATTGCCTTATTATACATGCCCTCAAACTCTTCAAATTCAGTGGCCTGAACCTGTTCTTCTTCCACTTGCTTGGTCAGGCCACTTTCAGGTTCAAGTGCCTCTGCTTCTGCACCATTCTCAACCACTTCCGAAGGTGCTTCTCCTGTTTCCTGCAAACGAGCGACATTTCTTCTTGCACTCTACAATAAAATGACTTTCACTGACTTGAAAAAGTATACATATCTTCTGCCTGCCATTTCATGTGGAGTGCTTCATACATGGACATGCACACAACGGTGACGCATTGCAGAATCACGATAAGCAAAGTTTTATCCAAAGTGGCTGTTAAAGCAAATGAGCCACGTGTTTTGAAGTGACACTGCAAAAACCTGAGAAGTTTTCGCCGCTTTGCACAATAGCCTCAAACATGTTCAATACATGTGTATATTGGATGATATTGGATGTATCTGTGAAAAGTGACGAAAGCTTTACTTGTGCGTGTATGTATTGAGACATGTGTGTATATACCACGTTTCTCAGCCCTGAAAATGCCAACAGAAAATTCATGACTTCCACCTTTACTTTGCCCCTACATTGCCTTATTATACATGCCCTCAAACTCTTCAAATTCAGTGGCCTGAACCTGTTCTTCTTCCACTTGCTTGGTCAGGCCACTTTCAGGTTCAAGTGGCTTCTGAATTCTCTGTGCTTCTTCCTTCCACTTGACTTTCACTGACTTGAAAAAGTATACATATCTTCTGCCTGCCATTTCATGTGGAGTGCTTCATACATGGACATGCACACAACGGTGACGCATTGCAGAATCACGATAAGCAAAGTTTTATCCAAAGTGGCTGTTAAAGCAAATGAGCCACGTGTTTTGAAGTGACACTGCAAAAACCTGAGAAGTTTTCGCCGCTTTGCACAATAGCCTCAAACATGTTCAATACATGTGTATATTGGATGATATTGGATGTATCTGTGAAAAGTGACGAAAGCTTTACTTGTGCGTGTATGTATTGAGACATGTGTGTATATACCACGTTTCTCAGCCCTGAAAATGCCAACAGAAAATTCATGACTTCCACCTTTACTTTGCCCCTACATTGCCTTACATGCCCTTACCAAACTCTTCAAATTCAGTGGCCTGAACCTGTTCTTCTTCCACTTGCTTGGTCAGGCCACTTTCAGGTTCAAGTGCCTCTGTTTCTACTCTTTTTTCAACAGCTTCCGATAGCGATTATCGTGCTTCCTGCCGCCATACTTCTGAATTGTCATAGAGCAAACGCACACAAACAAAAGGCAACACGAAAGCCTGTCCGGCATTTTTCAAGCTTTGCAATCCTTTCTTTACTGAAAGTAGAGTAGAACAATAGCAGGTCTTGGAACTGGAAGTCGGACAAAGCTCTCACTTGCAAAAAAATGATCGAGCAAATACCTTAGGCCCAGAATGTAAACTGCGGGAATATACGCATGGAAAACAGGGTAAGGAGATGTGTTGAATGGCGTGGTTATGGCTGTGATATGCAGCAAAAGTATGCACAAGGAAAGTACAGTCAGAGCGTCCTGCGTGTTTTTTTTCAAATCCCCGAAAGGCTTGGCATTTTGCACGTCTCGCACTTCTTGCCCCTTTCCCTCACAAAGGTGGCCACTATCACCTCTTCTCTCCCAAGTGATCGATGTGATCGGAGTCTCAAAAGTTGCTTCAGCCTCCAGGATTTCACGGATTAGCATGGTAAAACATGGTAAACCGGCATTTCATAACAGTGACATGTCCATCTGTGTCCAACTGCTTGCGCAGACTTGGAGTCATCCTTTGACTCCTTGCAGGGCATGCTGTCTGCGGTCTGCACTTTGCAAGGCAAAGATCGCTGCCCTTTGACGTCTTTCGGAAACAAAACACGTCCATGCATCTGGTGTATACAAAAAATGTTAATGCATGTTAAACCATCTATGAATCACTCGAAATATATGATATATACGGTTGTCCTTGAAATCCAGGAGATTGGGGGTTGGGAGGCAGTTCTTAGTTGGCAGCTGGATTCAGGAACTGCAAGTTGAATCTGCCCCCGAAACTCCGCTTCCGTTGAATGTTAGGATATGTTCCATTTTTGTGAAGCAGCCTAATGAGTTTTTGTAGCCCTACTATGCGGGACCCAGTCATGCCAGTGCTTGTGCTGGAGCTGCGGTCATGTATGAGCGAAAATGCGCAGAAAAATCCGCTGACCCCTGGCGACAGCAGGGGGGAGGGGAGCGCGTTAGAGAAGAGGGGACAAGCTAGAAAGCAAGAGGCAAGAGCATGCAAGACGAGCAAGAAGCAGGTGCCAGCGCGAGAAGCTAGAAAGCAATATGATCAATATGCCAGAGGCTACCAGAGGCAGCTAGAAAGCAAAAGGCAAGAGCATGCAAGACGAGCAAGAAGCAGGTGCCAGCGCGAGAAGCTAGAAAGCATGATACCAGAGGCTACAGTACCAGAGGCTGAAGCTATAGTTTCTTGTCCGTTCAGAAAGCAACGTTAGGCACAGGCAGCCGTTGGCCGAAGGCCTGGTCTGTCCTTCAGTAGCATGGTGCTTCGCTGTGGCGAGGCCGAGTTAACTTTCGCTTCAAACACGACAGTGCAGGCAACCCTTCTGCCAAGGTTGAATCACAAACCAATGCCAGCCTCTGGGGTCGGCGGCAGGGCGTGTAGCTCCTTTATATGGAAAAGCTTAGAAAATAGAAGCGATGAGGCAGCCATGTGCGAGTTAGATTTTATTTGGTGTCAAGGTCTTTGAAGCTCCTTTTGTTGATGCTCGCAAAGCGTATTTAAACTATTTCGCTCTATTGCTTTGACTTGTTGTCGCAAGCCCTCAAAGAGAAGTATTGTACGCAGAATGAAGGCCTTTGCAGCTTCTCTGTCTTCTGGCAGGATGGCCTTCCGAGTGTTCAACTTTGATTGCAACCTGCATTTCTATGTTTCCGTTTATACAATGGCATTCCATAAAGTGATGTTCGCTCCCGGCAGTCCAGCATGTCTTACTTGTTTGCAAAAAACTCTGGCCTCTTTGTGCGCATCTATTGTGCCAGGAATGATGCAACCTTCTTCCTGTGCACGGAAGTTTCAAGAGCGTAATCAACACCTTTCCCTAGCTCCGAAATAGCATATTACATCATATTACTAGTTATCTTACCAAACAATGCACAAAATACATGGAAATGCCAAGTATAATACATGGTACATATCGCGCATCTGTGCATCGACACCCTCCGGCCTCCTCACATTTGCTGCTTCCCGTGACGTCCAACAGTCTTTCTGGCTGCCCAAAAAGGTCCGCTCGGTCTGCTGTTCCATCAATAGGCAGGATGTCCTCCAGAAACTAGGTTGGAGCTCTGTGTATCCTGTGTTGCCAATCGTTATCAAACACTGTGTATCCAATCGTTGGTTTCAAACACTGTGTATCCTTATTTCATTAATTCACAATCGTTGGTACAGTATGGCACAGTACTCTCTTCAAATGACTCTTGTGATTCTTGTGATTCTTGTGCTTACTAAGGCTTACTGCACTTCTTTCTGAACTCCAGTATGACAAACATTGACAAACAACACTTCCAGTGTGATCAGTGCCTCCTGGTCAAATGGAGCTGGGCCGAGCCAGGAACCTGCAATATCTGCAATGCAAGATACGGAAAGGAAAATGCTTCAGAGATTTCAGAAATGCCCGGAACGTCAGAATATATCAATGTATGTCAATGTAATGTGTTTCAATCTGTTTCAATCTGTTTCAATCTGTTTCAATCTGTTTCGATGTTTTAAGATGCTTCAGATGCTTCAGATGCTTCAAGCTTTCAAAAGACCAGGGTGCCTCGCGGCTTGGCAGTATCTTCGCCAGGGAAAGGGACGAAAAAGGCAGCAGCTGGTGCTTCCTGGGTTTCGAACGGTTTCTACTTACGTTACGGAGCCATGAGTCCAATGAGTCTACCTGACCAAGTGCCATTCGATCCATTGGCAATCGGAAAAGCCTCTCCCACTGCAGCCAAACAATGCCTATGCGTCACAAGACTTCTGACGAGAAGCCACAGTATCCATCGAAGATTCAGCCCGTTTTGCAGCCGTTACAGTGACTGCACCAACTTCACCCGCATCGTTCCAAGGAGGTGGACACGAGAAAATGATGGAGTCCTGCACATGATCGATCAAGATCTCTCTATATGTATATATATATATATTATATAATATATTTAATTATATATATATAGCAACGCGTAGTAGTTTGTGTCTGTTGCCGTGGAACGCACTCAGGGATCTGGGGAGGCCATTGCCACGAGCTCCAAAGGATAACTGGCACAAATTGATCTCTGCAGAGTGTATGGATGGAAGTGCACTGTAGTGTACGTATAATTGCAATATCTTGCAATTGCTTGCACACCTAGGCAGTCCTCTGAAAAGGGATCCTCTGACACATCTGCATTCACCGCGTTTCGCCTGAGCTTTGATCTGACCAAAAGTTCGCAGAACCATCAGAACCCTGATCTTAACAGGTCTTTTTGATTGCGAGCAATATGTTACGCCATCTGCAAGAGATAGAGAACGCTCCCTACACTTGGGAAGAAGGTGTAGTATCGACGAGTATCGTATGTTTCACCGAAATCGGACGGCAAACGTAGATTACAAGGTAAGAAGTAAGAAGCCTATAGAGTCAATGACAAGTTGAGGTTGTCTTGAAATCTGATATGGTCTGATATGGTCTGATATGAGATCGAAGATGAGCTTCCAATCCTGAAGGGCCCAACAATACCATCAGTCACCCCTACCGTGCCATGTGCAATGCATGACTGACGCAAAAGGACGCGAAAGTTGGACTGGCCATCGTCGTTTCTTCACGTGCTCTACGGCCTCCATTCTCTCCTGCCTGGGCACCGCAATAGGAAAAAACAGGAAAAAACAGGACAACAGAAGTTCAACACTTCAGGAGCCAAGGATTCAATGTAAGGGCTAACAACCGAAACAAAGGAAACAGCTACAACATGCTACAACATGCTACAACATGCTACAACATGCTACAACATGCTACAACATGCTACAACATGCTACAACATGCTACAACTGTAGACTTTATGCAAAAAGGCAAAGTCGGCAACTCGCGAAACTGAGGGGCTGAGGGGCACAAAGCAAACTGAATGTAAATTGAATGCTCTGTAACTAGACTGTGACTCTATGTGACTCTGTAAGTCTGTGACTCTGTGACAATGCAAGACTGGTGGACAGACGGCCAAACAAACAAACTTTTTCCAGCTGATTTCAACCAAGCAAAGACCTTGTCTTACTTGGATCCGCCTATCCAATCTACAGTAATCTACACACTAGCAGCTCAGTCCAATGAGACAAAGCAGGACTGAGCTGATTTTCGCGTATTGATTTGGATAGGAAGCACGATCTCCTTCAAGATCTTCAAGTTGAGATTTTACATGAAATTATATGATATTCAATTATATAATTGATATAATTGTTTTTACCCCCGCTGAGTCCCTGCCTCGGCGACTTGGGCATGGGGTTGCAGCCGGCTGGAGCTTCGGAGTGCTTCGATTTCCGACATCAGTTTGTCCTTAGCGCTGGCACGAAAGAATTTGGCATACTGGATTTTTTCCCAAGCCACAGCTGCAGCCAGCAAACTTCTCATTGGTTTGACCCCCAGAGAAACGCTGTATAGGCATGTATAGGCGGAGTATGGCAGACTTATATTGAAGCACATGCACCAAAGCAAGAAGAATCAAGAAGACAGAAGCTCTTTCTCCAGAAGTGTGTATACCGTCGATACTGTGTATGACTGTGTCGTGTTTCAGTTCCGAGGCACCATTCGACTGTGTGAGTTCAAAGCGCCCGACTTCTCTACTTCCACCATGGTTCCGTTCAGAAACAGGTTTGAAGATCTTGATGATAAAAGCACACTGTGGAGATTGCTTGTTGGCAGCTCAAACTTGTGGGTCGGAAGAGCTAAAGAGAAACTTACACTGTGCTAATCCTACATCTAAGATCATCTAAGTAGGCTGTGCAAAGTCACATCTTTATTGAACTCACAGAATGGCACTCGAGAAGGGTGAGAATGGGAAAGGTATGGAAAGGTTCATTGGTTCAGTAACGTTCACTGTCTGCCAATTCGTTCAACATGTTCTGCGAGTTTGGTTCTACGTCGTGCGCCGAAAAGGCTGCTGTGTTGCGGCAGTGACTTGCTGACCTGCATATCATAATAATATGTGTTTTTGGATTTGCTGGGCCATACACAACAAAAATAAGGACAATACAATATTCTCATATTTTGTCATATTATATATATATATGTCTAATGATGTCTAATGTTTATATAATAATATAATATATTGTCGTCATCGTCATGCAAATTGGCAAACGATCAGCGGCCTAGGGAGGTGATCTCTGCAGCTTCATCCGGTGCTGTCAAAGCACCCGAATTGGCCAACTCTGCCACCTGCCGCAAAACGAAGCGAAGCCACGGTCCTCCAGCTCCACTGACAGACCAAGGCTGCCACTGCCGACTTCACCAGAGCTGTGTTCGGAGGTTGTGGCAAGGAGCCTGTGATGGGATGTGATGGGCTGCCAATTCTGACTCGTTGAAGCTCATTGAAGCTCATTGAAGCTCGTTGAAGCTCGTTGAAGCTCGTTGCTCGACGGTCTGGAATCTTGTGGAAATTTGGACTCGGCGTTGGGCCTAGCAATGAACGCGCACTGCTCAAGTCCAAGGGACACTGCCTCAGTTTTTGCAAAGTGGCACGCCCAAAATGTTGGTTAGACAGGAGTTTCTTGTCTTGAAAGAAAGTACAGATCAGATCTGAGTATTTCTCGGTTCTTGTTGGAAACCAAATCCTCCCATTCAAAATCTTTCAAAAGATGACATCGGGTTGACACATTTTGACACGCAGCTCGGCAACGCAGCTCGGCAATCTCAGCGTGCCACGCAGAAAATCGTGCAGCTGTCTTTTGTAAGACCTTCACAGGATTTGGATTGATTGGTCATGCGAGTCATCCTCATAGAGATTGTCTCGAGCTCCCAACCTCCGAAAGCTTTTTGGCCCGCAGGAACAGTCTAGAAAAAGATGTCCGCAAAATCTCAGGCGTGTCAAACTCTGCCATCACCTCCTCAAAGCTGAAAGAAGGGTTGAGTCTTGTCAGATCTGCGATCAACTTTGTCATTGCACAACGTATACTGTATAACAAGAGTAGTCCTCGTAGATGTGTCTTGTGAAAAGGCGAATAGCTATTCCAGGCCTGATAGCTTGAATCCAGACTCTCAGTTGCTCTCAGTTGCTCTCAGTTGCTCTCAGTTGCTCTCAGCTGCTCTAAATCTCTCTACAAAGTTCTACAATGAGAAGCATTTCACATATTTCACAGGCAATTGGGACGTGCTTCAGCAGTTCTTCTGTGTGCGATTCAAGAAATCTTTTGCCAAGCATCTGAGTGCGTCCCGCGCGTCCACCGCGTTGCCTGGCATCATTCTGAGCTGCTTGATTCTGCTTATGCGCATCATGTTCGTTCACTGATAAATTGATTTATGTCACATATTGTATAAATATTATGTGTATATATAGAGAGAGTGAGAGATATATATGCATTTGTTTGAAAGTTGGGAAACATTGTTATAGTATGTTATAGCATGCCATAGTATGTTTTAGTATGTTTTAGTATGTTACAGTTATATGATGTCATATGCTTCTTGGCCAGGTCTGAGATGCTTTTGTTGGACCTGGTTCAAAATCGTTCTGGTTCCTGCCTCACAGACGCGTGGGAGCACCAAGTTGTAGACAGGCAGTTCAAGCCTTGCTTTGGGTCAAAGACCTGGCATCCATTGGCACCTGCGTTCCATGTTGCGACATGTGCTACTTATGCTATTTCAACCTGAGCCGTTTTGTTGTGGTGCATGGTGGCAATGTAAAAAAAATAGCTTCCAACTTCCAGCAGGTTGGAACGCGACAACCATGCAAAAACGGCAAAACCAAGAAAGAAGAGTAGCAGCCACAAGAACCATAGCCAAAACGGCTGCACGCTAAAAGCAAAGGCAGCAAGCCGCGGCAGCAGATGGGAGTGTGTTCGTCTACCATCACGAAGTCAAGTTGTGCGAATTCTGAATGTTCACACACACTGTGGGGTAATGGTGAGTATAAAGTGTGAATGATGTCATAGTCGTCGCCTGATTTCCTGAGTTGCCTGGCAGTAGATTTTCAGCGGACACGGATTCGCGATCGAAGAAACAACGCACAGCTCAAAAACAAAAACAGAAAGTCAACAGTTGAAACTATAGCAGGTACGTAGATCAGGCGTCCCTGATCTATATCCTTACCACATGTCACCCAGCTTCGTTGGCAGAGAAAGTGACATGGGTATCTCTGCCCCCTGCTTTTGAGAATTGTACAAGCGCAATAAATAGAACTAAAACCGTTTGTTATAACGGTGCACACACACACACAAGGGCCCCGAAATGGGGCAAAACCGCAAACCGCCTAGTTTTTACCTAAGAAAACTGACCTAAAGAGCCTGCCTAAGAGAATGAACACCTGGCCTAAAAGAACCTGATGACGATGACGAGTGATGTGAAAAGCAAAAAGTTAAACCGTGTTCTATAGGTCGTAAATCTTAACAGTAAAGAAAATGCGTATGCAAATGCTGTACGTTTGAGTTCAAAATGAAAACGATGCACAAGACTGTACGATAAAGCCTTTCAGCCAAGACCTCATTTGTAATTCCATCTCGTCGTCAAGAACAAATAATCGCACAGGTACATTGGCAAGTGGAAATTCTGAGTTCCGGAACTGCAGAATGAGCTTGAGTTGTTGCTGAGCTCTTGACCGAAAAGGTTCCGACAAGGTTCGGCTCAATCTGCATAACAAAAAATTCCCTGCTGTATCAAAACATGATTGATTCATCAAAACTAAACCATTTGCTATATAGTAACCTAAGGAGCCTGCCTAAGAGAGTGAATACATGGCCTAAACAGAACCTGATGACGATGATGAGTGAGGTGAGAAATAAAACGTTGAACCATGTTCTATACCTAGTAAATCTGACCTAAGGAGCCTGCCTAAGAGAATGAATACATGGCCTCAAAAGAACCTGATGACGATGACGAGTGATGTGAGAAACAAAACGTTGAACCATGTTCTATACCTGGTAAAACAAACCTAAGGAGCCTGCCTAAGAGAATGAATACATGGCCTAAAAAGAACCTGATGACGATGACGAGTGAGGTGAAAATGCCATTGAGACTCCGACCAGACCAAAAAGCACTTGTATTGCACCCGTGGTGCTGGGAACTTCGACTTATGTCTGCTTTGTCCGAACTGGACGAAACTTCTGCCTTATGGCTTCTTCGCCTTATGGCTGCTTCGATTGGATTTTACAGTGTAAAATCATGACTTCGTCATATGACGCTTGAAATGCACTCGAAGTGCATACGGCTTCGGAGATTCATACTCCACTCTGAATACGGGAAAATGCCCGCTCATGACTTTTTGATTGATCGAAACCAACCGACGGTGCGACCAAGTCAGGTCAAACACCCAGGACACACTGTGGGGTAATGGTGAGTATAAAGTGTGAATGATGTCATAGTCGTCGCCTGATTTCCTGAGTTGCCTGGCAGTAGATTTTCAGCGGACACGGATTCGCGATCGAAGAAACAACGCACAGCTCATAACAAAAACAGAAAGTCAACAGTTGAAACTATAGCAGGTACGTAGATCAGGCGTCCCTGATCTATATCCTTACCACATGTCACCCAGCTTCGTTGGCAGAGAAAGTGACATGGGTATCTCTGCCCCCTGCTTTTGAGAATTGTACAAGCGCAATATATAGAACTAAAACCGTTTGTTATAACGGTGTACACACACACACTCACTTGTCGAAACACCATCCTGTCTTCAGCACCTTATGTCTTATGTGCCATCAAAAGCATGTCATGTGCAATCCTTTCAGGCGAATTGATGTGTTTCACCAAACAAGAAGGCCCAGCCGGCTCTCTATGTAGTCCAAAATCGATCACGGCTGCCACTTGCGGCCTTGTGCAAATCTTCACTGACTCAATTTGTGGCATGTCCAGCAGCTGGGCTGGGACTGTTGCGACTGTTAGGAGTTGACAAGACTAAGGATGACTCATGGCATTGCATTGCATCTTTTTTTTCCGCGTCAGTCAGTGATGTCAATGCCCAACTGCATCAGGCAGTCAGTACAGTGCCACATCCTCAGTGGTAGTCTCACAAACTCAAAAGATTCGCGCCCGTGCACACACTGATGATCACACACGCACACATCACAAAAAAATGCAAAACACCAAACAAAGCATGAGAAGTATCGACACCTATTTTGTGAGAATCAAATGGCCTGCCCTTTTTCGTGCTTTGAAATCAGCAAATCTATCTGAGCCCAAGAGTCTTTGTCACTTGTTCGACGCGGCCTATCATCCAGGGAAAGAAGTTGCCACAAAAGCAGCATTTCAGCACCTGCCCGAAGAAGTCAGCGAATTCGAATTCATGCTAGTCACATGGTAGTCCCAGTACATGGACCGTCGCTCGGAGTCTTGAAGACCTATATGCATACCCATGCCAATAGAATGTCATGTTGCAAAGCGTTGAATATTCTTATATATAGAACTGAGAAAACCAGGAGCTGCAATGCATTGAAGCAGGTTGTTCAGGTGGTACAGCCTTGGGTGAAAACTTCCGCCAGCAATCCTGCGTTGCATTTTGATCACAGAGCCAGAAAAAAAATCGAGCGATAAAATGATGGCCGTAGTGTGGCAATTCTGCGCTCCTCGCAGAAGAACTCCTCCACATCTGGATCCAACCAACCTTTTTTTGAATTCTTGCATTCCGAGCAGTGGCCTTCAACACTGCCAACTTTCTGCGCAGAAAACTCTTCCTGGTGCTGGTTGCAAGTATCACAGCTCTGTGATGGTTCGCAAAAGGCCAGATTCAACTCCACCAGTAGAGATCTTCCGCAATGTTCCTCAGTTTCCTAAAAGAGTATTAAGTACTTCATGGTGTTTCAAGTCCAACAACCAGCAAGAATTGATGCACAAATTACAGTCCTGCGAAACGTTTTCCCAGAGCTTGTCCATGCGAGACTGCAGCACCTGTCTTGTTCAGTGAACAAGGCAGTGTGTGTGGTGTGTGGATGTGTATGGCCTCTTTTCGGAATTCCTTCTCTCCCCTCGTCTATCCTCATCTAATTGAATACATCAGTCTTCCCTCCATGTGAGCATTGGCTTCCTTGACTGAAGATAAGCTGGCTACGACGAAAACTAAACACATACAAAAAATTACAAAAATCCTTTGTCTATCTTGGCTCTCTGCGCCGCGATCAAACCTTTGGGAAAGTAAAGACATTGCTACATAGTCTATTAGTTGATCATAGTTGTTGATTGTTATTTGATGTTATTTTTTGATGTTATTTGTATGTCACTGATAATTTTTGCATCATAGACAGCGCTGCCTCACCGATGTCCCTGCCTGACCCACAGTAGGCTTCAACCAGCCATCCAGGATGACGTGCCGATGTAAAGAAGGCAAGCTTACTTTGCCACGGGTGCGTAGCTCTTGTTCGACTTTTCGCAGCATTTGAACCACCTGTCACATCTGTCACAAAACTGGTCGAACAAAGCTACCGCACTATGTTCCTGTCTTGTTCAATAAACCCTGCCCTTCTTAAGGCGCGCAATATCATCACAAAAATGCATCAAAAAAACAGATTGTGCGAACAGCCATCAAGGAAGTTATGTTCCGACATGGAGTCCAGCTTTTTCAACTTACCATGCCCAGCGTGATCACAAGCGAAGAGGAAGTGCACAGCGAAGCCCAGAATATTTCACTCGAGTCCGGCCGCCCGTGCCTGTGGACCTGTCATCCACAGCTTTCCCATCTTCAGTGGAACTGCTGCAGCTCTAATGGCTTCATGCAATTTTTCCCATCTCTCCTCTGGTTCGGGAAGACTCCAGACTGCAGGCAATGTGAAATTTCATAGTATTTCATAGGGGACAAGCAATCAGAACAGAACTTAACTACACTTGAGAAAACCAGTAAACAACCAAGTAGAAAACAGCAACCAGGAATCAAAAGCAGCTAGAGCAAAATGAACAAACACCTCCAGGCCGATACTTGTTATCCTGCTGCGGGAAGCTCCTGAAATTCAGATTTGTTGTCGACCGGCACCGTGAAGAAGTCCCTCTGATGTTCAGGGTAGGCTTTGCTAATGAGGGAGCGAACTTCCTGCGTCAAATGTCGGCGGGGTTTCAAAGGCAGCATTGCTGACACGGACCCTGCACATCGCTGGACATCAAATGACAATGGGAATCAATGGGATACTTTTCTATGCTCCTTACGTTCTTCTCCATGGTCTGCAGATAGGATCTTTTCGAGCGCATCTTCACCATATCTGAGCCTCGCAGACAGGGAAGCTTACCCCTAGCCACATTCCTAGCCACAACTAGAATCCTAGAATCCTAGAAGCAACATGAAGCAACCTCGCACCGGTCACTTCTCAAGTTTTTGAAGAAACTGATTTTCCGACTCTGTCAACCGCATTACCATCGACAACCAACGACATGACAGCAGTAACTTCAGTACAGCCAACAGTGTCCTGGCCTGCTCTGATTTACCACAAAAAGAAGGGTCTGTGCCTGCCGAGTGTTATTTGCAGAATCGGCAAGGCAGGCCTATTTGTTTCTGCCACTGTAGACTAAACTGCAGACTATCCCCGTTTGTCTAATGTGCGATTGAAAGAATGCAGAAACAGGCCGGCCAAAAGAAAAAACAACAAAATCATTGAAAATCGGAATTCTCCAGAGTTGCTGCCTGCAACGACCCAGTACCATCGCATTTGATGAGAGAGCGCTCCTTGCGAAAGGAGCAATCAAATTCAGTAAGTCCTCAAATTGCAAAGGCAAACAATTCAAACATAATTCAAATAACTCAAATACCTCACGAAGGAAGTCCCTCCGCACTCTCCTCAAGCATCCTTGCGAGGGCTTCTATTGCAGCTTCTGAAGCTTTTCCATCCGTAACAAAAATCAGCGCAGTGGCAAAGAGTGCTCCAACCTGCAGTCCAGGTATGGGGGGAAAATGGGAGAGGAACTGAAAGTAACATTGAGATACATTGAGATACGGTGAGCACAGCAACAAGAAAGTGCCACCTTTTGAGGCTCTTGCCACCGTGACAATCGAATGGCTCTTGGACATTGCATTGTTCCCGCCCTCGCAGTCGAAGACCAGTAAATGCCCTGGGTGGCTTGAAATTGCCACCACATCTATTCCTTGCGTAGGACGACACCGGAAATAGCATGGCTGGCACATTTGTAATTGTGTACGCAAGTTCAAGCTCACCTTTTTGGGTGGATCCTAGAGTATATTGGTATATAGACCATATATAGAGTGTTTGATAACCCATGGTATGAAAAGCCACTAAGGCAAGTCTTCACGGCCAGAACCTTGCTGTCCTAGGACTTGAAGGTACTGTAGCTGTGCCCTCGTGTTTGCCAGAAATTATCATTTCCCAAGATGAGTTGACCATTGCGAAGATTTTTCAAGATCCACACATTGATCTAAGAATCATAGGTCCTTCGCTTCTCTGGGCCGTTTTTCCTGACTTACCATTCCCTGGAGTTTGCTTGAGTGCCATCCTTTCCTTGCCACATTGAGGAATAGCAGGATGGGGCAACAAAATTCCTCGTCTCTGCTTCTTTCTGCCTGTCTCTTCTTGTCTCCGCTGATCTCTACCTGGCAGCGACACTCTCTGCAGAGCAAGCTTCCTTCGGTCACAGCTTCGTCGGAATCCTCCTCTTTGAATGCACCTGCACCCACCTTGAGAGGGTGCACAGCATGGTCATGTTCAATTGGACAGATTGGTTTTGAAAGCATCACTGCTCTTGAATGCAACCAAACAGTAAAGCAAAGTCTCTCAAAAAGTTATAGCCTATAGCATCTATAGCCATGAAACATGATGAGTCATACATATGAATATATATGATATACGCGCTTTGTAGGTTTGGCGAATTTGGTACAGTTTGGTACAGTTTGGTTTGTCCAGTTCTGCCACGCAGCAACTTTGGAGGCAAGGTATGACTTTCCACTGCGACCATCGCCAACGAAGGCCACTGGACATAGTGGTCCAGGAAGTGCCTCTATGACCTAAAGCACTGTACAAATCAAATGCCACTCGAAGAAATTCTAAATGTCAATCAACTGATATCAACAACTTAACTTTGCTAAAAGTGATATCAGACTTTGCTGCTGAGTTGTTTGCAGCCAGACCCTCCTCGCAGAGTGTTGGCTGATCATGATTAAACTTCAGCAAGGGCACAGACCTCAGTGTTGACATCCCCACATGACATAAACAGGTTGCCTCCAAACTGCGACGAAAAGGAAATATGTTTAAAATAAAAACTAGGTCGCGTGCGCCAGAGTTTGCATGCTGCAGATCGGAGTGTCACAGCATTGTGTTCAGAAGCATTGAGTCTGCACTTGCATCTAAATCTAAAAGCAACTGGGACTCATGACGGATTTATCATCTTGAACAATTCTCCTTTCAAATGCTCCAAAATGTTGATCTGATTTAAGGATATATCATATAGATTCATATAGCATAGGTTTGTCAAATTCTGTGGAACAGCTTGAGTCGTCAACTGTCATGGGCACAAAGGGCAAGCTACTTTGAGCAATGGTTGCAGCCAACGTCCCAATGTGTTCCAATTGGATCGAATGGTCCATAACCCCACGAACGAATTGTTTCTTTCAGCAGTGTCAGCAGTGGCGCAGTGTCGATCAACACTGCATTGCAGGAAGGTTGCCAGAAAATGTTGCTATAAGGCATGCCAAATGTGCACATCGCTAAGCGTATAAGCACTTGAGGAACTCTTATGATTCAGTCGAGTGCTTTGAACATGTTCATTGCAACCTACGGACTTTGAGGAATATCGTTGCAGCCACCTCTGAGATCCCTCTCGCCCCCACAAAACTGTTGAGGTCCACACAAAGTAAGCGAGGATTCCGCGATGTTTGAAGCCAGCACAATATGGCAACATCCACCTTCATTTCTTGCAAGTGTACGTTGAGTGATTTCTAGTGAAACTATGCGAAATTACATTGAATCAAAAACATGTTTAAATGGATGATCAATAGGAGCACTCCGCAGGAATTCAAGAACTAGTCCTTTTTCTCCCTTTCGGATTCCTTTCCATAATGCTAGCTGTCAACCATTCACCGGGCGTCGTGAGCGCAAGCAAACCAAGCAAGGGTCAGGCAGTGGCATCGTGCAGCAAAGTTGTTCTTCAAATTTTGTCTTGATAATATGATACATGTATGTACATAATATATATATACAAGTGCAATAAACAAGCATGAATCATGTGCGTATCTATCTATCTATCTATCTATCTATCTATCTATCTATCTATCTATCTATCTATCTATCTATATGTGTGTGTGTGTGTTTGTAAATGTACAGTATGTGTATGATGTGCATGTATTCAATATGTAACGTATGTAAAGAATGGGTATAAATGTATGTATGTAATATGTCTGTCTGTAATGCAACACAATGGAATGTATTGTTCTGTCATGTATGTACATATGTTGTTAATTTGATACACATGTGTATATATCTATATATATATATATATTTACAGTAAGTGTTATGTTGTGTGTATATGTAACATATATGAACGTATATGAGCTGTATCACTGCACAAGGTGGTCTCCGGTTGACTCCACTTCAGCTTCTATCAGCACCTGTTGGTTGCTTGAAGACTTCTTCCTGCTCAGCTCTTGGCACCTGACAGGCAGCGTCTGTTAGGCTGCCATTCACAGGAACCAAAGTAAAACCGAATCAAGGTTTTGCCAGGATGAGCATGCTGTGGCATCTGCAATCTATGGCCCTGGCCATGGAATGGAGCACAAACACTTTGTAGTTCGTTGGTGCTTCCCTGTCCAAGCAGTAAAGAGACAATGCCAGAGGGGCTAGAGTGGCAGACTTCGGCAATGCTGAAATAAGCCGGCCCGGTCGTATCGGTCTTACTCTTAATGCAAGCTGAAATCGAAATCTGACAACGGAATCACAAATAAACGATTCTGCCTGAACTTATCATATTCTGAAAATAAGAAGTGCTGACACTGCCACATTCCAAATTCTTTGAGAGGCTGAGCAGGGGTGTCACAGTTCACTCAATTGGCGAGCAAAATTCCGGTCCTGTTGCTGCTAGGCAACGCGCTCAAGGCCTGCTGAACAATATGTTTGACAGTATATCTCCGCCGTAAACTTTTGTACATTCGTTGTATCAAAGGTGGCATAGGCTTGGCAGACAAACGAGTTTATTGTCCTGCACGCACTGCAAAAAATATATATCATACAATTCACTACTGACAGGAAATATAATGAAATATAGGCGCCTCTGAAGACGAAAACAGGTCTGACAGCCTGTTCAGTTCCACCAGCCTCCAGCAAGAATTGTTGATCAGGGGTTGAGGCACAAAATTAAACCGAGAAAGACCCTGTTGTACGATCAAATGCGCAAACTGCGCATTTGTATGACGCAACATTGAACCCTCAAAATTGGCCGGTGGCACCCAGGCAGAAAGATGAGGAGAGTAGTGTTTTTCTTGGCAAAATAGGGAACCAACTCCACTGCCTTTGCCATGGCAAATCACGTGTACGTCAAATATGTTGAAGGCCAAGCATGTCCAAACATGTCCAAACACCATCCGATTGACAGAGCATTCAGAGAATCCTAAAGATGTAGGTCACCAACCAGCTCTGGTAGCCCCTGAAGGATTTCAGCCTGATGCAAAAATCTCTGCAGGCTGCAGCCACAGTTTTCCAAGCAGAAAGTGTCGAAGAGTGCCATGCTCTCTTGATATCTCTTGAACATTCTTGGACTCCACAATCAAATGGAACGCACATTAAAACGCGTGCTATGGAGTGAACCTGGCTCTTTGAGAGCTGATCGAATTCTTCCACTGCTTCCTGCAACATGCACAGCAATTTACAGGCATATGAAGCACGGCCACGAAAGCACAGTAGAGATAAGATGAGATAAGTAGAGTGAGAAGAGCCCAGTTAGTGTCTTCCTGCAGTCTTGGTGCCCTACCTCTGCCATGCTCAGCACTGACGTTGGCAAAATGTGTTCGTAGTCTGTCAGAAGGTTGTCCTGCAAGAATGCAGCAGACCGCGACACTTGCATTGGAAAAAGTTTTTACTGTGCTTTAACAGCTGCACCTAATGCATAATGTGGAAAACTACATCTCTTTAGAAAGAAGTCTGATATAAGGATGTCAAATTCAAGACAAGAGTCGGAAGTTTATCTTACGGCAGTGATGTTTTATGATGTACCGGCCCAATAGCCTTGAATATTCAGCACTGTCTAGCGAATTGCAACAACATCCCTCAACCCAGTTGTCCAGAAAGACTTCTTGCACCGGGAAGGTTCGCCCCGGCCTCTCACTGTTGAACCATGACGAAAAATTACACAACACTGGTGGCCAAGATTGAACTGGACAGACTGCAGTCTTCTCTTCTTCTCTTGCTTCACAAAGCCGCTGACTCAGAATTGCTGGCCCTTCACTTCTCACATTTTCTCACATTTTCTCACTTTACTGGTTCAAAGCTACTGGCTCATCACTTTGAGGAACATGCACAGTCAGGGGATCTCCAACTTCAAAATCGGAGAAGTAGCTGCCTTGGGAGCAGGGAGGGTGATTCAGGTCAATCCAGTTTCAGCAGTGCCAGACGCAGCTTTATCTACTTTATGCAACATGTATTATAAAGCTGTTATAGTTACAGCTGTTGACTTGCTCATTTCTGGTCACCCCAAGAAAATCCGATCCACGCATATGCATATGTTATATCATATCATTTGTCATATGAGTAGCGGACAAAATTATATTATATGTTATATAAACTTAATGCCATGCACAAATTAGGGTCGTCCCCTATCGGTTGTGAGGATTTCAGTATTCCCGGAAGTATCACAAATGAGGTATCGGTATAGGGTCGTCCCCTATCGGTTATGAAGATTGTTCAACCTCAGAAATGCCAAGGCGAAGCAAAACTGAATTTGTATTACAATAATTTTGTCGGTTACTCATATGTCAAAGGTATGCCAAAGTTGCCTCAAGTTGCCTGAAGGTTCCAAAGTGGATGGGTATCCATTGTTTGCACAAGAACAAACACACAAAACACTGAGATGCGAAAAAGAGAATGCTAAGAATGAGAAAACGTTGCAACCGGTCCAGTTGCTAAACTCTTCTGGCTGCATTGTTGCTGACATCAGGATCACCTGCAAGCAGAACTTCAATGTCTTGTGATGTCATGTGCACATTGAAGGGTAATATTGGGAAATGTCGGAAAATCAAACGCGGCAGCATCTCCGCTGCTCCGCCTTGGGTCGTGGGAAGAAATACATCAACAGCTTGGTAAGCAGCAGGAACAGTTCCATGTCTGCCCCACGCTCATGGACCTGGAAGAGTGCAGATCGTTTGCTTAGCTCGGTGCAAGACATTGCAAGACTAGGAAATAGATGGAAACAGTACAGCACAACAGCATTGCTGGTTCCCACATGCAATGGTCACAGTCACAGTAGTCTCAATCAACACGTTCACGGTTGTGCCTCGTCGATGATGATGTGGCTGAAACTTGCAAACTGCTCCGGCTTTGCCAGAAACCAAGTGAGGACGTAGCCTGCCGACATGGCCGGAGTTGTCTGAGTGAAGCTTGGGAAAAAAGGAGCAAGCAGTAATAAGCAGTAAAACCCTTAGGTTTCACATGTACTCACAGCACCGGGAAAGGAAACAAGCACGTACTTGAAGAAGTCGCATGGCGGACCGCTGCGATATCTACACTAGAGTTCGGTGGAAAGCAAGAATGGAGAGTACTGGCATGAGGGCACACATTCGCATCCTGGCCGCCTGGCCTATGGTGGCAAACTGCAACTTGCCATTCCCCGCCACAATTTCTCCTGATATTCGATAGCCAACATTTTTGCCAACTCTTTCTCCACGTTCCGCTGCGACACGCTTTGCAATTTCAACTGCTGCCACTCGTCGAGGCTGGGTCACTAAGACCTTTGAGCCAGGCTCTTCCATGATGTACTGTGGCAGGCGCGTTGACTTTCCACAGCCAGTCGCACCAACCAGTATCGTGGCCCGATGCTGTCGCACTCGCTCCAAGATATCTGTGCGCAGGGCTTCAATGGGCAATTCCTGGGGTGGCTCTGTTGTGAGAGGCTCTAGAGTTTCTTCTTCTTGGTGCAAACCAAGTCCCTCTTCTTTCAACTTTGACAATTCTATTTCCGCCTTTTCCAATTCCTCCCACGCCATGGCTTTGAGGTTTGCATCTGGCGCCTGGTCCCAAACATCTACAGGTTCAGATTCAGACTCCTGGGCAAACGCCCATGCCAACTGGCGATTATCTTCCAAGGTTTGCCACGGATCATCAGTCGACGCTCGGGTCAATTCTTGGTCGGTGTCTGTGGCTTCTTCCTGGATGGTCTCTACGGTTTCCTCCTGTATCACCTTGGACTTTGACCTGGAGGATGCAGTCTCAGTCTCACCAGGTACGAACCACATCGCACCGCGCGGTGGCTTTTTCTTCTGCCTTTGTGTCCTTTGTGCACTTCGCAGACCAGTTGCACCACTTCCATCAGTCGCACCAGTTGCATTCGCAAGTGAGGCAGTTTCGGCGTTTGGACGGCGTGTCTTCTGTGTCTTCTGTGTCTTCTCTTCGGCTTCCGTTGCTTCTGTTGCTTCCTGATCAGGCTTCAACTGATTCAGCTTCTCATTTGCAGGTGGCATCGAAGCTGTGACTCCTCAGCACCGGTAAGTTTCATTGGAGTCTAGATGTCGTCGTGTGTTGCACGTATGCAGAGTGTCTAGATACAGGTTTATTGTATGCATGGATTGCACATATGCCTATGTTTCTACAATCTATAATCAAATACATGCGATCTCAAAATATACGACTATGCATATATGATAATACTACCAGTAGCATATTATATTGTATATATATATACATATATAATAGTCGGAAAATATGTGAAATTTTGGCATACAGTCATATGTCATATGCACATCAAACATATAGTGATCTTACTGATCAATGCATGCAATGCATGCTCCTTTGGGTTTCATTCAGGAAGTGTTAAGAGTTAAAGCTTCATGCATTTCAATTTCAACGAAGTGTCTAGAGTCTAGGTACCTCTGCTTTCGAAACCTTCTCGCCACGCAGACGCTGAAAACTTTGGCTCCTGAAGAATCTGGAACAACATTGGATTTTGTGACACTGGTGACACTGGTGACACGTTCTGAGGATGTCGATCTGTGTTCTACTTTCTTCTCGCAAATGTGTCACAGAAATTTGCGCATATGCTCTCCTCGACTTCATCGTTAAAGCAATCATCTTTGATCTCCTGGCAAACACGCAAAAGAAAAGGATCGCAGGTATGCTGCTATTGACCCAAGCACTGATCCAAAGCGCACTGCTCACGATTGCACATCTGCACCTGGGTCAAAAATCATCAAAAATATATATGTAGAGGGGGTCATCACACACCTAAAGAAATTCCCCATAAAAAAATGACTAGTGTAGGCCAATAAAGACACTGTGTGTGTGTCGTTTTTACATGTATGGCCATTTTCCCAGCCTGCACAAGCATGGAGACTATTGACGTGCAAATAAAGTCAGTACAGTTGAAGGCATAAACAAGACCCTTGCAAGTTGGCAGGCACAAATGTTTTTCTCTGCGAGATTCCAACATCACAGCTCACAATACCCGCGCGCCGGCGTCTTTTTTCTGGCCTGCACAGTTTGCCGTTCCAGAGGTTTTTTTTTGCGAGCAATCGAAGCAGAGTTCAGCATTGTTTGTGAGATCTCACTGCGTCATGACACTCTTCTGGAACTGATCATTAACTTATTGAACGGCTCTACACTCGAATTCATCATGAGAAGCTGAGCACGAGACCCTTTCCTTGCCCCACAAGGATCTTTAAGGCCTTGATTCCTGACTGCATTCGGTCTCGCGACTGCTAGTTGCCAGTCATCATAGTCATCTTCAATAAACAGCAAATCTATGCAAATCATGTTCGAATAATTGCACATCTACATTCTACATCACTCTACATACGGACATCATGACGCATGGGCAATGGTATCCGTGACCGCCATGTCTGTGCCACCTATGACGCTGGCAACACGTTTGGTGTGGCAGTCCTTGGGAAAAGTAGAGCTTGCCTGGAGTGGAGAAGGATGTAAGAGTCAACCCTGCCCCGTACTTGGACTACAATACCCCTTTGCTTCGGCCTCCCAAAAAGTAATGCCATGACCGGCATGACCAGCATTACCAACATGGCGGCCTAAAGCCCTAAATTTCGGACCCTGCCTCCGGTGACTGCTTGACCTCTGGCGGGCTTACAGAACCTCAGGTTTGTGCAAAGAGCTGTACAGATGGGCATTGTGAATTCATTGGATCCTGCAGGCAAACCAAGCATCATAAAATATCATAATAAGTTAATAATCGAAGGAAATGTAGAAGTCAAACTTTCGACAATCCGCCGGCATGCCGGCGTGTCTGATTGGGAGGTGTTTTTCTTGTTTCTGTTCTTGGTTTGTACTTGTTCCTTTGTTCTCTTGCTGCGCGTTTTTGCTTCGTCTGAATCAAGGTCACCCCCCCTCCCCCGTCCTCCAAGCACTACTAGTACAAGTACAAGTGCGAGTACAAGTGCTGCTATTGCTATTACTACTACTACTACTACTACTACCACCACTACCACCACTACTACCACTACTACCACTACTACCACTACTACCACTACCACTACCACTACCACCACTACTCCTCCTCCTCCCCTCCTCCTCCTCCCCTCCTCCTCCTCCCACTACTACTCCCACTACTACTCCCACTCCTACTCCTACTACTACTCCTACTGCTACTGCTCCTGCTACTGCTACTGCTACTTCTACTGCTACTGCTACTGCTACTACTGCTACTACTGCTACTGCTGCTACTGCTGCTACTGCTGCTACTGCTACTGCTACCGCTCCTACTCCTACTCCTACGCCTACTCCGACGCCTACTCCGACTCCTCTACTCCTCTACTCCTCTACTCCTCCACTCCTTTTCCCCTTCTTCCCCAAGTACTACACTCGCAGTGCCGATAGCTAATCACATTGCCTACAGCATTACCGTTGTCTACAGGTACTCGTCACAGGACGCACACGGTACTACAAGTACTCATTTGGTATGCGTTCCATTGATTGTTCAAGCACTCACGCTGCTTCTGATCTACGGCTCTGTCTTCGTCTCTTCTTCTCTCAGGCTTCCACCTAGCGTGCACGTCAACCTCCCTTGGGGAAATCTCTCTCCCCTGTCTCCTTCCACGCAGCGATCTGCTGTCAAGCCATTACCTGGCGCTACTCTGCTGCGGGCGGTACTAATTTGGTATACGGTCAATAGGTTGTTACAGCAAACCTTGCCACACAAGCCGCTTCCGTTTTACGGCTTTGTCTTCCTGTCTTATTCTTCTCATTCTTCTTCTTCTTCTTCTCCTTCTTTTCTCTTCTGGCTTCCACCTAGAATGCACATCAAAATCCCTTGGGGCCACCTCTCTATGGCCGGCGGGCGTGCCGAAGGCAATTGAATATGGACAGATGGAAAAGCAGAGGTGGCAAGAGTCAGAGAAGAGAAGAGAAGAGAAGAGAAGAGGAGAGAGGAGAGAAGAGAGAAGAGAGAAGAGAGAAGAGAGAAGAGAAGAGAAGAGAAGAGAGAAGAGAAGAAAAGAGAAGAGAAGAAAAGAGAAGAGAGAAGAGAGAAGAGAGAAGAGAGAAGAGAGAAGAGAGGAGAAGAGAGAAGAGAGAAGAGAGAAGAGAGAAGAGAGAAGAGAAGAGAAGATCAGAGAAGAGAAAGAATCATT